ATGGTTTTTATATCTTGCCCATTGAACATGATGCACATGTAAACGTAACAATAATTACCGAAAATTCCACCAAAAATTTTGAAATGCTTGCCAAGGTTAGATCTACAAACGGCAATCCCTCTAATATTTTAACTCGTTTTGATGAAATACTAACTGCCTGCCAAAGCAACAGAGATTTAAAAAAAAAGAACCTGCTCTTTCTTCCAGAGTAATCTTCGGAAGTTTGGTCGTCCTTGCCAGATGTGATTGCCGTTACTAAAGCAATACTGTTTGGATGAATCGGCACTTCACAGAGACTAAAACAAAACTAATTTATCAATAGAATGAACTTCGAAATTTGAGTCAACGTTAGGCCAAACTGTAAAAGCGAAAACCATTTTACTCGAACTTGGCGGATACAGATAAATTAGTGGTATTAGTGTGAAATACCTTTCTTTCTCTTTTTGGTATTGGCGAAGAGTAATTCTGGTTAAGTGACTGGAAGTAACTGTTTATTAATTTCCACCCATTTAACATAATACCTAACTTTTATTACAGGTGCAACAGGGAACAGAAATGCGCGCGTATTACAATCATGAATCTGTAATGGAAGAGATGACCATTCTTATGAGTAGCAACGTTCCAATTCACGTCATCGTTGTCACGAAACGAACAATTCGGAGAATTTTGAGGGGTTTTGGATTTACTATGCTATCGCCATTCTCTAGTGATAATGTCACTTTTTCCGGTTAAGTTTTTGGGATGTATTTTGCTAAAGCGCATTAATTTTTATTGCAGTATTGAGGCGAAAAATTTCTTCCGTTTTTGACTGCACAATACGAATACAAGCCAAACGTATAAGTGATGCAATTTTTCCGACAGGGCCAAAGTTTTAAATCGCACATATAATTAATGCCCTCCGATTATCACTTTATTATTACTTAGCCCCTGCATCTTTAATTTTTATTACTTTCACCCTGTTATTATTTCAAATATTATTCTTCGTATAAAACTTAAGACTGAACCAATGGCTTCATTCAGCATAGAATTTCTCATCTAAAAACACAACTTTTAAAGCTCTTAAATCCAAACCTTGAAATCTCTTGTGCCCCAGGACAGCTACTGTGTATCTGCCTTTCAACATGTAATACTCTTCTACCTGCCTGGCTGCTTCCGATAAACTGCATACATCTTCCTCCTTGCGACTGCTTCTTTCTTGTCAACTTTTCGAAGGTTTTCTACGACAGATTATAACTGCTGGGAACTGTGTTCACAGGTTGCGTCTCGAAACCACAAAAGGACGATTTTGATGTGCACTTTGCTCCCCTAAGCAGTTACAACGATAGCGGTATGTTCACGGTCACACAACCGACCCGGAACTGCGATCCATTCGAAGTGATAAGCCTACGCCGCAATCTATGGAATGTAACTGACGGACTTCGTCCTCATTTTACGTGGGTATCCGGTCTTGTCAAGAAATGGACAGTTGAGCCGACCAAAAAACAGCAAGTCCAAAAACTGCAGCAGTTCAATGGAAGCTTATCAGCGCTTGTGCAATCCACGTACTTTTTTGAAGTTTTCTGTTCGAAGATATTACTATGAACTGGAAGGAAAGAAGTAGCAATCTCTCCTTGGTCCTAAAACACCCAAAGTTATCTCACTGATAAGTGAATCTGAAAAGAGTGAAAAGATTAAGAAAAAAAAATGGCATAAAACTAATTCAAGAAAAAACAAATGTTGGCTAAGGCATTCAAAAGTTTAATAAACAAAAAACACAATCTAAGACTAGCAGATAGAATGTGGATGCGCTAAAATCAGCAAAATGTTAAATTATTTCAAAAAATCCTCAATACTTGGCCAATTCTGATAGAAATCGTTAAAAGCAGTGTACTTGGGTTACTTGGATTGAGTCCTCAGTTTTTGTGAAAACTGTTGGGCTTTCGAAATTTCTTCTTTTTTCAGCAGTTCCTTGATGCAGATACTCCACTTCGGCGCATCTTCTTCGCCTATGCGATTTTTGGATTTTCTACCAGCACTTACGCAGTACGTCACTGGCCGAACCTATTTTGTCACTCATACAATAAAAGATGAGTTCATCATGGTGAGGTTAATACCATTTTTTACCAAACTAGCTAGCATTGTTTCATTCCATATTAAGTAATCGAGTACTCGAGTACCCAATGGATCAAACGATAATTCAGCCGAAACTTAGCTGATCCGCAAATGGGAAAAGGCTCGTGAAGCTGTAGGTCTCCAGCAAATTCATTTCCACACCCTCATATGTGAAGTTCTCCCTTCTAAGACAGAGGAGGCTGGAAAAGCTGATTTTACGCTCCTGAGCCCACGTACAGCTAGACTCAACGCTCTCACCTTATTAGTTTCCTAGCTTTTATAGTTTCAAATTGAGATGAACAAACATTCACACATATCGATACGCATATTCGACCAAACCTCACAAAAAATGTCTTTTGGGATAAATGTAAACTGTAGCATCGAGGAATGGATCGAGACCAAACTTGTGCAGCTAAGTGAAGAGAATTTATTAAATAAAAAATCCGCAAAAAATTGTATGATCTAGTAGAGAGGAGTGGTAGTAGCGGAAGCGAAATGTTTAGAGGTAACGCGGGAGCTTATAATGCTAAATCGTTTATCAACATCTTCTTGAGCATCTTTTATCATTTATCATCGTCTTCTTGAGCATCGTGCATTGTGAACTACCTCCCGTCTGAAATTGCAGGTATTTTATGATGTCGACTTGATGTACGATAAAAGCAAACTGAACACGGTTGCAAGCGAATACCTAAAAAACGGGATTCATTCGATTCATTACATCGTTTTTAAAGCAGTAGCTCCAGGGCTGCATTATGTGGAATCACAGAACAGATACATTGTCCATCTAACGTGTAGCATACGGTACGCATGCGGCTATGTGGCTTCCCTAAATGGTTATCTTTCAAACACATCTTTTGCCATCAACCAGATGCAACTTACCTGTGCGAAAGTGCTGCGCCATCAGTACGAATACTGATCAGATTGCTTCGTTGTCGATGCGCCTAGAAATTTCTTCATTCTCTTAACTTTTTGCCTTCATACTGGTCTCAAGTGTTGGTTACACGTTTGGATTTAGCAGTGAACTAGTAGACATTATTAGTTATAAATCTAAATGGAGCATCTATCCCGTTACCTCATTTTTTTTTTGGAGGTACCTCTGGTACTTTTTCAACCCCCTGAAGCGACTGTTCGCTCAACGATCCAGTTCATAAGAGCGTTTATCCTTGCTTATTTGATGCAGAATGCTCAAAATACATTCTTGTGCATCTGTGGACCCTACATCTTAGCATAATTTTATTAAGGATATTCTGCGGAATGGTCAGCACCGGGGAAGCTATACGATCCACAGGTCAGCTTGCCGGACACTCATGGTACCAAATTTGTGACGATATTTCCATGGAATGATGACGAGTTCAATAAAAAGCCCAACGCTGAATTGTATTTATACGTATCCAATCTTCACCCGTATGCGCCTGCTCAAGTGCAAATGAGCTACAGAGACTTCGACTACAGTGAAATGAATT